TATATATATATATATATACACCAGTGGTTTTCAAACTTCTCATTTTTCACCCTACAAAATGAAAGTTCCAGACACTTGTAATCCCTCCTATTTGACAAAGAATCTTGTAAACCATTACAAGAGGTGTTTTTGGTATGTCCCATTTGTAAGATTCCTTTAGGCAGGTCCAGAACCACATAAACATTATATATAAATACTGCATTTATCACCACTTTATGTTTTTGCCAAGAGTTCAGGATAAAAATGCTGCTTGATTTCTGTGGATTTTCTCAAACACCCTTCACTTGATGTTTCACATTGCCTAAAACTGGATGAGCGAGCAATAATAACTACATTTGATGTATGTGCATCAGATTTAGTCAATATTGCTTGCTTAGAATGCACAGGGAAAAAAATTCAAGATTTTGCTTGCAACTGCATGAGATGCAGAAAGCACAATGTTCAAACTTGGCAGCTGTTTCTTTGTCATAAATAAAAGCACTTACTGAGCCAATGCCAAAGCCAGAGCCAGGCAGAGACACAGGAGCAGCTTCATGATGAGTTGTCCTCTGGTCCACTATAGCAGAGCTGGGCAGAAGGTAAAGAGGCTGCTGCTGCAGCAGCTCTTTATACTCTGGTCCAGTTCATGTGGGTGGCACCACATTGCATACCAAAATAGGAGGTAGGCACAGTGTGCAAAAGTAATGAGTGGATCCAAGACACCCACGTTGTTTGGCACTCGAAGTTGAGCTTCAGAGACCTCTACCTCTGAGGCAGCAGAGTTCAGACATGTCTGTTTTAACTCTGATAATGCGATCAATAGATGAGTATCGTGTGGCCTTTAGATAACACTATGGTCAGACACAAGCGAACGTTCTCCTGTTTGTCACGTTCAACCTTTTAAAGCATTTAGCTAAAGTTACAACATATTTTTGTAGTTTAATTTTAACATCAAGCTAATTTTTTTCAAAGCTTAAAGCTTAAGATATGTGTACAAGTTCTGTAGGTTCTCTTATTAGCATTTTAACAAGATTTATATTATTAATAAAGTTGTGTTTTTGTTGTAATGCATTAGAGGATTTTCAGAAAATTACAGAAATTTGACAAAGCTACAGCAGAGAACTGGTCTAAGTCTGGTCCAAATTCTGGAATCAACCAACCTGGTTTTCCCTCAAAAATAAATAAAAACTGCAGTGCTGACAGCTGCACTTTACAATGTATACAAGTGTTGTGTTATGATAGAGTGGTGAACATTAACTGACAGTTGCTGATTGAATTTGTAACTTCAAAGAGAATTTAAAGTACTGCATTTTGCCACCATACCAACCCATATTTCTAATTAGAAATATTGCCACCACTAATTTAGTCAGAAAAATGTTCTAACATGCATATTAAGCACAGATGTTTGCAAATRAAATAATCAGAACTTGTGTAAATAAAATAATCTTTGTCCACATGGACCAACAACCACAGGGGTGCCACAGGAGTCTGGGTGCCAGACTGGTCAGATTGGGTTCTTGAGTGGGCTGATTACCTCAACTTATTCATACATATAAGGTGTGAATATTCATATAAAAACAGTTTTCTACATCAAAGTGTGAGATCGTAAGAGTCAGTGAACTATTTTCATAGGCATTGAATAGTCAATAATTAAAAAAAATTGTTTTTGGTAATTTATTACAAAAATAAAATAATCTAATTTCATGAATAATGGATAAAAATAGTAAAAATAACAACATATGTAAAAAAATAATAAAGTAATAGTAATAGTAATAATAAAATAGTTTAAAGGAGGTTGAGAAGTCCTTTATCAGTGTTGTTCAATCTAAAGTAAATAATCAGAATCAGAATCATTTATTGTCGTTCACACACAACATCAAAGATGCAACGCAGAATGAAATTGCAGTTTAGAACATCCGTCCAGAGAAACACACAAATAACAAACATGGGGAACAAATGTCCAAGGTCTTTCACACGACGGTGCGCTACCTTTTGCAGCTTGGAATACACACAATAGGAAAAGTGATGTAAAAAAAGAAGCTCTGATCCTGGGTTTACACAGAAACACGGAATCATACGCTCAAAAAAGCACTCGCATCAGTGCACGGCAGTTAAGGAAGGGAGGGGTCTGGGGGTCAAACAACACATAAGGGGGAGATAAGATGGGGCGGGTTCAGAGGAGTAGGTGATGTTGAAGGAGGGGGGTCTGTAGGACTCAACCCTGGCCCCCTCCAGAGTCCAGAGTCACATGATGTTATCATGTCTCCGCTCAGTTCGCTAGAGTTCATAGTTTCCTCCTCCTCAGCCATTGGGTTCTGGGGCCTGGTTCAACGCAGTTGAGGGGGGTGGGAGCGAATCCAACTCTTTGTTGACGTTCCATCCCGGGGAGATTGAGATAAACACTGCCATCAAGGTTGTGCAGCTGGGAGCCAAAATARATAATCTGATTGCTTTGTAACAAAGCAGACTTGAATTTCCTGCTGCTTTTAAAATTTCTTAACTGCATCCCTGAAGTGGCAGGAAAAAAAACAATCAGCCAAATTTGGGGTCTTCCTCGCCTCTCACCATCTGAAGCGTCGCCCAGATGTAATCCTTACATGCTAGAGGCTCGCTCCTGAGTTGCGATCCTCGTCCGAATCACATCCAGTTTGCGAATTATTTCCCCCAACTGAGTGTCTGTATGCTTCCAGCCCAGCAGAATCCTTCAAGTGCGCCCGACAGCTCCTCAAAGGCCCAAACCACTGTCAGCGTTGCTTTCAATTTTCGATAAATCTGGAACCCTCCTCCACCAATCAGCAGGAATCCAGTTATCAGAAGTCCAAATACTGTATATATATACGTATAAATAAAACGTATATATAAAACTTCCACATCTTCGATGGAAAATGGTGCTGGCATATCAGATTCCAGACCCAGGAGTCAGACAAGTCCAGATAAATAACAAAGATTAAACAAGATTTTAATATTAGGTATCAATAAATAAACCAACTATTKGACAGAATCTTGTATTTGTTTATACACAGTGAGTTTAAACAAAATAACTATTTAATTAACAGTTCACTTTGGAATTTAGATGAGCATGTCAAAAATACTCCTTAAAATAACTTTTAAAGAAACTAGTTCAGTTCTGGAACATACAGAGGTCATCTCAGAAGTGGGGTCATTCCTACTTCTGTTGGAAGTTCTAACCTTGACCTTCAGTGTTCACTGAGGTGGTTTGTGGCTCAGTGTGAAGCGGCTGGGATGAGAGCTGGCTCCTCTGAGTCTGAGGCCATGGTCCTCAACTGGAAATGGGTGGAAGAGTCTCTGCCTCAAGTGGAGGTGCTGAAATATCTGGGAGTTTGAATCATGACTGAAAGAACGAGATCCCAAACACAAACAAACGAAATGGGCTTCTTTCAAAGGGTGGCCAAGCTTAGCTTTAGAGTTAGGTGGAGGAGCTCCATCATCAGAGTAGAGCCGCTGCTCCTCCACATCGATAGGAGTCAGTTTAGGTGGTTCATCTGATTAAGATGCCTCCTGGATGACCCCCTTTAGAGGTGTTTTGGGTAGTCCCAATGGTAAGAGTCCTTGAGGCCGGCCCAGAACTTACTGGATGGATTGTGTATCTTCTCTAACATGGGAAAACCTTGGGCTGGGTTTCTCTTCTGGACCTGCTACATCTGTGACCCAACAATGGTAAGTGCCAGTGGTAATTTTAGCTCTTTTTAGGGGGTACTCAAGCACCCCTACACTTGAACTCAGCACCCATGAAAATAAAGTAACTATCAATATTATTTGTAAGGAACCTTTGTGATAAAGGAAGGAAGAGTAAAAGTTGGAGAGACCACTGTTAGAAGGAAACCATGTTTTTTTATGTAGGAATATTATGCACTTCATGTAGCTGACTGCCACTTTAAGCTGCAACCACCTTCATGTTTGTCTCTCAACTGTAGCTGCAACTGGTTACCTGTAGACCTACTATCCCACTACTGGAGTTTTGACAGACATTTCAAGTTACTAATAAACACGATGTATGATGATAATATTGCTTTAGCTGGGCTAGGAGCAACTATTACAGTTTAATTTAAGCTGATTTTTTACCCTAAAAGTTAAGCCACACTACAGTTCTTAGACTGTGGCTAGAAAGGACAAAGTTAACCTAATTTATGCCCACTTTATATATATACACCAGTGGTTTTCAAACTTCTCATTTTTCACCCTACAAAATGAAAGTTCCAGACACTTGTAATCCCTCCTATTTGACAAAGAATCTTGTAAACCATTACAAGAGGTGTTTTTGGTATGTCCCATTTGTAAGATTCCTTTAGGCAGGTCCAGAACCACATAAACATTATATATAAATACTGCATTTATCACCACTTTATGTTTTTGCCAAGAGTTCAGGATAAAAATGCTGCTTGATTTCTGTGGATTTTCTCAAACACCCTTCACTTGATGTTTCACATTGCCTAAAACTGGATGAGCGAGCAATAATAACTACATTTGATGTATGTGCATCAGATTTAGTCAATATTGCTTGCTTAGAATGCACAGGGAAAAAAATTCAAGATTTTGCTTGCAACTGCATGAGATGCAGAAAGCACAATGTTCAAACTTGGCAGCTGTTTCTTTGTCATAAATAAAAGCACTTACTGAGCCAATGCCAAAGCCAGAGCCAGGCAGAGACACAGGAGCAGCTTCATGATGAGTTGTCCTCTGGTCCACTATAGCAGAGCTGGGCAGAAGGTAAAGAGGCTGCTGCTGCAGCAGCTCTTTATACTCTGGTCCAGTTCATGTGGGTGGCACCACATTGCATACCAAAATAGGAGGTAGGCACAGTGTGCAAAAGTAATGAGTGGATCCAAGACACCCACGTTGTTTGGCACTCGAAGTTGAGCTTCAGAGACCTCTACCTCTGAGGCAGCAGAGTTCAGACATGTCTGTTTTAACTCTGATAATGCGATCAATAGATGAGTATCGTGTGGCCTTTAGATAACACTATGGTCAGACACAAGCGAACGTTCTCCTGTTTGTCACGTTCAACCTTTTAAAGCATTTAGCTAAAGTTACAACATATTTTTGTAGTTTAATTTTAACATCAAGCTAATTTTTTTCAAAGCTTAAAGCTTAAGATATGTGTACAAGTTCTGTAGGTTCTCTTATTAGCATTTTAACAAGATTTATATTATTAATAAAGTTGTGTTTTTGTTGTAATGCATTAGAGGATTTTCAGAAAATTACAGAAATTTGACAAAGCTACAGCAGAGAACTGGTCTAAGTCTGGTCCAAA